ACATAATTTATCTTAAAAATTGCTAAAAAAAAAAAAAGAAAAAAAGAGATTGAAGGGATCGTTCAGTGACGTCACGAACACCGCACCCCGTCACGTGGTTCCTTGCCAGTCAGCAATCGATCGTCGAGTACTCTGTATTCCTACTACCTTTCGACTTCCTAGCTTAACTTGGATTCACTTTTTCACTCGATACCGTACGATCAACGTTAAACGCCAATGTGTGTTCAAATAAAAAAAATATACAAACATTAAATGAATAAATAAAATTGTTATATAATTTAAATCATACACGAATGAACGCGGGGGGGGGGAACCAGAAAAGTAATGTAGGTTTTTTTATTTTTACATTAAATTTAATCATGACTATAAAGTATGTTACATAACGACCAATTTATCATGATAAATGATAAATAAAATATTATTATGAGCAGGAACGTCATTACTTTCCGGTTCCCCCTAATATATATATATATAAAGTATGTTACACAACGAACAGCTGATAAATGATAAATAAATATTAGTATGAACATAAAACAACATTACTTTTTCCGATCCCCCTAATATACATATATTATATATATATATATATACATAGTATGTGTTATGTTTAAATTAAAATACTAAAGGTACATAATTTAGATCTATGTATAAAAGGAAAATAATTATAAAATGATATCGTGTTAATTCTTGGCGCCAATTTATCCACCATCGACGAAATTCTTAACAGTTTAATCTTTATCATGAACAATGAAGTAACGAAGTTGATATGTAATTACTTCGTTCGGACTATTTCCTATAGAATTAAAGGATTGATGATGCAGTCAAATGGAACGAAGCCGGTTGCTATGGGAGTTTCGAACGGCTCTCTATCGCGTAATTCTATACCGTTGTGTGTATATACACCAAGAGAAAGAGATAGAAAGAGGAAGGAGAAGTATATAAAGTGAGAGAGAAAGAGAAAGAGTAGACAGTTTCGAGACGTTGCTTGGCAACTGTGGTATCAATCAATGACGAGGACAAACGGGAATTAAAAGATCGTCGGACAATCGGTTAAAAGAAAGGAAAAGAAAAAAAAAATAACATTCCCACCCAGGCCACGTGGAAGATTTTCAATACACTTTCTCTCTCTCTTATAGTTTTAATTAGAACAATTGGTAATTAATGAAAAAAAAATCTAATTCTCCCCGTCCCCGCATCTCCTTTTTTTCTTCCTTTTATTTTTTATTTTTTATACTTTGCCTTTGTGTTTCTTATCAATGTCCATCACCGTGTTAATTATATCAATTAAAGTAGAGACAATTAAATAAATGATATTTTTTGATTGTAATCAAATGCAGTATTATCTATCATATATAAGTATAATGAAAAATAATTCTCTTTAATAAGAAAAAATATCTATATATATATGTAAGTAATGTCTAAAATCCATAAATTGTGACACGGCGAACAAACCGTGCGGTGTGCTGTGTATGTCAAATTGATCGGAAGCCCTGGGGGTGATTCAAGAGAAGCCGTGCCTCAAGGGTCATGCCTCTTAATACTTACCATCGGCCTCTGTCCACTTTATTCGCGATAAGTATTCACCATATCGAACGTACTACTAACTATAGTTATATTTCGTCGAGAAAGGACGGAAGGACGGACGAGACCGTCGAACCTATAGATGACTTTTTCTTCGATTAAATAAAACACGATAAAAACTACTTACAATTATATTAAAGTATATTTCAACTATTTCTATATATATAGGATAATAATAATAATAATATATAATAATATATAATAAAATTTTTTTTCTTTTGAAATATTCTGACATTCTCTTACATTAGGTATCTTCATCGATTAGATTTAAAACTGTCGACGACTATACTAATTTAAAATACCGCAATGCGTTAAACCTGTTTTTTTTTATATATACTGTATACAAGAACATTGTGCATTACTCGTTCGACCGTATTCCCACGAGAAACGTGAACCGCGAATGTAAATTAGCACTTTCCTGGATTACGACTGGTGTTAATGTGAAGATTGGTTTGCTATGTCAACGCTTTTACAATTCGAAATTTCGCAGAATTAAATCGATTTGATTTTTTATCGTAAACGATAACGAATGTGACACGTTGTATAAGTTGTTTAAATAAATAATAATATTCTTGGAGTGTTGTAATATATTTTTCAAATGTTACCACGAATATAATTAATCAATTTTGCGACTCGTCAAATTATTATTCGTTCATTTGAATAGAAAAATGATTTGACGGTTAAATGATGATGAATATTGAATAGTTTTCCATTTGAAATTCACAAGTTTAACATTTATTTTTTGAATTATTCTAAATTAATTTTTCTTCTTTTATTTTATTTATTATATATACTCGAGAAGAAAAATATCTTTGCACTTCCTTAACGTATTATCGACGTGAGTTAAAATTAAGGACACGGTTTAGATTAGTTTGTCGTATCGTAACGCTATGACACTTAGTTGACGTTTGTATCTTTCACCTAAAAATAGAACGTTGCATTTAAATAGGTAAATATCGAACGAACGAGAACACGTATACAAAAGCTTCCTACGCTAGTTTTAATCAGTTGTGAATTAATTTTCCTATCGTTATATATGTGCTGCGCAAAGTTTTTTCAAGGTAACATTATCCCAGGAAAAAGTTCGTTAGGTTTTGTTACGTTTACTTTCAATATATATTTGATAATTAAACATTAATTCTAATTGATATAACCAATTGTCTCGAGAATCCTATTAAATATTATATAATACAATTTAAAATATGTATATTATAACGCTTGATCTCAAATTATTGCTGCTTTCCCCTCCACTCCCCCTGTACTCTTACAATTTAATAATAATTATTTTTTAATTGAAAACCAAATGTAAATCCTCGCGTTATAATGAACCAACATCAATGAAAACATTTCAAAAATAAATCAAATTATTTACTTTTTTTTAATCATATTATATATATGCCCCAATCAGAAATCATTTTTATAAATGTATTTATAACTTTACTTTTATTTATAATATACTTTGCATTTATAATTGAGTTAACAACGTTTCCCTATGATACTATATATATATATATATTTATCTAACGTTCACTCTAATGTTTTAGAAACACAACCACCGTAATACTTTCAACCATGAATTCGCGAATTTCCTTGGTAGAACCAAGAAGCGTATTATGGATTAGTATCCTAAGCTAAGTATAGGACAAAGTTCTTTCTCCGTCGCAAACTCTTCTTCTCTCTATCCTTTACTACGAACACTTCATTCTCTCTCTATCCCTCTCTATCTTTCTTCCACGCACGAGCCTTGCATTTCTCGATTTGCATTTGCCTTTCCCCATTTCTCTTTTCGTTTTCTTCCCTTTCGAGAAGACGTCGACGACTACGACGGATGCGGGGAATGCTGGGTTTGGCCCACCTATGTTTAGACGTGTTACTTCTTCCCCCCCCCCTCATCCTGCCCCTCTTCCACCCTCACCCTATCCTTCCCTTTATCTCTGGTTTTACCTCTTTCTTCTTACACGCACTGACGCACACTGGATTTGAGAATTTCTTTTTAATGAAAAACAAAATCAATTCAGTCAGTCAGTCAGTCAGTCAGTTAGTTCAGTAAATTTTGTTTCAATTCAAACGACGTTCGTTAGATTTCGATTACATTTTCTTTTTTTTTCTCACAATCATACGAACAATCGATATCTCATTTGAATTTTCTGTAATGTAATATTAGGATTCAAGGGATTCGTGTTTTGCAATAAAAGAATCGATTTATTTTGATACGATCACAAGCACACGCGGCGTCTTTGGTACCTTTTTGTTTAACCAACGACTGTGGCAATGTAAATAAAATAAAACGTAAAACAAAATTATTACATATTTAAAATAATCAATTGTGTTTTGTAATTATCTTTACTTTTTTTTTACCTTTACTTCTTTTCGTAAATTTCGCGAGGTAATGGGTTTATCCCGTATCCCGTAAAATACAAAATAAATAAATAATACAAATTATTATATAGTATCGATAAGAAAAGATAAAAGTTTTAATTACCAATTGTACGATGTAACAAAGTTTCGAGGATTAACAATGAATATTTCATTCGTAATTTGATTGAAAAATGTAATCGCAAAAATTTCACGTTGGATTT